TGGCTGCAGTAGGCATGGCAGCGAACAATTGCTAGGACAAAGATGGTGAGCAAGAAAACAAAGGTGGTTGCACTGAGGGCAATGATAAGATAGAGGGTTACATGGGAGAATATCATTGTGCCGTGTGGCCTGATAATGCGTTTTGGGTCTGGGGCCACTTTGGGTGGGAGCTCCATGACGGCAATGTTGATTGTTGTTGATGCGGAGCGAGAAGGCAAACCATGATCTCGTACATGCACTGTGAGGCTAAAGACAGTAGAATTGTCCTCGTTTACTCGCCGTGTTGTGCGGATTTCACCTGTGTACTCGTGCAGCTTAAACAAGTCCAATTCCGGTGGGTGATGGAGGCTGAATAGCAACCAGGCATTTTCTCCAGCATCTAAGTCCCAAGCCAGCACACGTGAAACAAGGACCCCTGCCTCTGAGTTACGCAAAATAGTCTCTGTGGAGAGTGAGCCGTTTGCTGCAGGGCGAACAAACTGAGGGCTGTGGTCGTTGGAGTCCATTATGTAAATATAAACAGTTGCCACTCTGCTCAAAGGTGGCACACCATTGTCTTGAGCTTTAACCTGAAAATGAAACTCACGCAACTTCTCAAAGTCAAAGGATCGCAGTGCGTACACCTCACCTGTGGCAGGTTTGACAGAAACATACGATGCCACTGAAATACCATGGTTGTTGTCATTTAGGATGGTGTATGTGATGCGAGCGTTTTCGCCGGCATCGGGGTCTGTTGCCTTGATGACACACAGAGGTGCACTGGGCACATTGTTTTCTAAGACATAAACAGTGTATGAAGTCTGTTCAAAACGTGGTGGATTGTCATTTACATCTGCCACTTCAACTCGTAGTGTCATTGATGATGAAAGAGGTGGCGTTCCACCATCCGTGGCTGTAACTGTGACGTTGTATGATGGTATAGTCTCCCGGTCCAGGAAGGCAGAGGTAACAATGGTGTAATGGTTTCGGAATGATTTGATTTTAAAAGGTAGATTCGGGGGGATGATGTCCAAGCTGACCTGCTTGTTTTGTCCAGAGTCTTTGTCATTTATACTTATTAAAGCCACCACAGTGTCTGCACGAGCATCCTCCCGAACTGGGCTGGAGAGAGAGGAGAGCACAATCTCAGGAGGGTTATCATTCACATCCAGCACCTCCACCACTACTTTACAGTGCACTGCTATGGCCCCTTGGCCTCTGTCTGCTGCCTGGATATACATCTCATAGCTGTTGGTTTCTTCAAAGTCCACATTGCTTTTAACTCTAATTTCTCCACTGTCTGTGTCTACAGAAAATACCTGCCTCACTCTATCTGGCGTGTAAGAGCTAAATGAGTAATAC